GTGTTGAACCTGGTATCTCTGATCATCGTTTGTTGTCTTTTTGTTGGACTGCTAGACACGTGGGAAGTACGCGGAATCGTTCTGTTGTGAATGTTAAAGACTATGAACGAGTTAACGATATCGACATAATCGATTACCTTGATGATAAGTTAAGTATTAACTCCGAGCAAAGCGTTTCCGGCTTGTGGAAACATTTTAAGGAAGCTATAAAGTTTTCCGTCTAACACTTCGTCCCTTCGAGGAAAGTACGAAATAAACGTCAAAACCCCTGGATTAGCCGAGAAATTATTCAGATTAAGCGTAAATTAAAGCGCCGTAGAAGACAACATAACACTGCATCAGAGTACTTTGAGGAACTTAAAAAACAACTTGTGGCTATGGTAAATTTAGCAAAAACACGTTATTTTAAAATTACGCTTCCTGAGTTCATTAAAAGCGACCCACAGAAATTTTGGCGTTATCTGGGATCAAATAAACAAGTGTTAACAAAAATTAAAGTGGATGGGAACCTTGTGACCGAGGGTAAGGAAATAGCGACAATTTTTAACCAATATTTTCAAAGTGTATTTATTCCAAAAGATGACAACGGAACACCAGCCCCTCCTATAAATTCTCTCGAGGTTCCTGTAACTTCAGTCGAAGGTGTCTTGTCAATGTTGCGTAAACTGAAAGTAAAAAAGAGTTCTGGCCCAGACGGTCTACCCAATGCCTTTTTAAAACGTTATGCACTGCAATTAGCTGAATTTTTGACCAAGATTTTTCAAGTTTCCTTACTTACCAGAGTAGTGCCAGATGACTGGAATATAGCTCGGGTTGTACCGATTCACAAGAAAGGGGATAAGTTATTGGTGTCTAATTATAGGCCGATTTCAATTACTTGTAGTTGCTGCAAGTTATTGGAACACGTCGTGGCCGGTTATATTAAAAGCTTCTTATCTGAAAAGGGTATCTTATCGCCTAAGCAGCATGGATTTAGGAAGGGAATGTCCACCGTCACGCAACTCGTTACGTCTGTTCATGAATTTCTCGCGATACTCGATGATTCAGGGCAATGCGATGTGCTTTTTTTAGACTTTTGTAAGGCGTTCGATAAGGTGCCGCATGCAAAACTGCTTTATAAACTTGAACGCATAGGACTTCCCTCTTACATTATTCTTTGGATAAGTGCCTACTTAAGAAATAGATCCCAATTCGTTGATGTTAACGGCCATGTTTCAAACGTTCTATCTGTCACTTCCGGCGTGCCCCAAGGAAGTGTGTTGGAACCATTACTATTTCTTATTTATATAAATGATCTAACCGAAGTGGTTTCTTCGTCTGTTTCCATGAGATTGTTTGCGGATGACTGTATTGTTTTTAAAGACATCAACACTGCTGACGACAGTCTTGCGCTTCAAGAATCTATTATCGAGATAGAGCACTGGTGTGAAGCTTGGGATATGGATTTGAATATTGAAAAAACTGTGCTTCTAAAAATTACACGAAAAAAACATATAAGCTCATTTGAGTATCAGCTTCACAACATTGCCATTCCTGAGGTCACTAGCTATAAATATCTAGGTGTTACCATTACTAATCGTTTAATTTGGTCTACGCACATTTCAAATATTTGCTCTAAAGCTTTCGCTAAACTGTGTTTTCTAAGGCGAAAGCTCAAACACGTTCCCAGTAGTGTTAAGCTCCTCGCATACAATACGTTCATCAGGTCAAAACTCTAATATGCATCAGTCATTTGGGATCCCCACAATAAAAAAGATATCCACCAGCTTGAACTTGTACAAAGAAAGGCAGTTAGGTTTATATTCAGTAAATACAATAGATTGGACTCGCCCACGGAACTTATGAGGGATAACCAAATACCACCTCTCGATACACGTCGGAAATGACTCGTATTTTATTTCTTTACAACATCCTGACATCCAGAGTAAGCCTAAATACACTCCCATATCTCAATCAACTAACTTCAAGAAAAACGCGACACACTAGGGATCACGCACTACAGCCCATCTTCGCAAAAACAAATGCCTTTAAGCACAGTTTTTTTCCACGCACTATTTCGGACTGGAACTTGCTACCAGAAACCATTATTCAGTCAGCCAATTTCATTCAGGAATTAGAACGGTACCTAATTCGATAATGCATTCCGCAGCAGTGGTCTTGTCTTCTTTCGTATTATTGTTTTTGTCATTTTTTCATGTGCACCCATATGTTGCATTTTTTGCCCCTCCTCTTGGGCCAGAGAACTGGCCTGCAGTATTGTAAAATAAATAAATAAATAAATAATAAATAAATAAATATACTGGTTACACAAACTTGTCAGTAATTCAGAGGATCATAGTTGTAACCAGCTGTTTAAGTGGAACCACATTTTCTATTTTCGAATCATTTGGTGAAGCTCCCTGGTCTAGTAAATATCTTGTCTAGGATAATGTAAAAATAAATTAAAATTAAATATTTAGTATTTGTAAGATATTTAGAAATAATATGTCGGTACAACAACAACAAAAAAGATATGTACAAGTTATCAATCCGTTTAACTATCCCGTCATGTACAAAACAATTGAAGTTGTAGGGGGAAAGAAGTAATTAAGAGGATGAAAATGGCAGGCTGTCTCTTTAGGAGGCTAAACCTCCAGCATACCTATAGCTTTTCCAAGTTGTATTGTCCCAAGAAGATCATCACGTTGATTGACGGGAAAAGCTTCCACCAATCAAACGAGGACACCAACCCGAAAAGCACTGATAGAAATTGGAGAGCATGGCGTATTGACTCCGCACCTGTTGTAGCGACAGGCATGCGCTGCCTATTGTTTTGGATTTTTGGAACTGTTATCTCTTCTACATGCGATAGCATTTCCAGGGCCGCCCTACTTTTGGGTTATGAGCGTCTGTGCGTCCCGGCTCGATAGCTAATTAAACTGAAAGCGTCTCTCTACTAAATCTAGCGAGAAACCTTGCATATCATTGAGGCAGTGCCACGCCTTTTAAAAATGCGTCACAAGACGTGACGTCACATGACACTGTCACATGACATCGCAGTCATCTGACATCACGTTATGTCACGTCATGCTGTTACGTGAAGACGCACGACGTCAGGTCTTGTCAATGAAGCCACAATGTCGCAAAACGTCACGAGACAATGAGCAACAGTACGTGACGTCAGGTAACTCGCCTGGCAAATATACATAATTCTATCGTGTTACATCTTTAGAAACCGCCAAAAGAAGGCGCAAATTTTTTTATTGCGAGTTTGGCAACGATGCATTATATCTTGAGTAATTTAATAGTATCTAAAACCCATGGATTACACCGCGGCAAGAAGCTGTGCCTCTAATTTACCATTTTCTTGTAGTTCGAGTACATTGCAGTAGAGGTTGACGTGAGCGTAAAGGTTTGTTGAGCAGCAAATTAATCCAGAAGAGCGTTTCTTTTTAATTAACAACCAAAAAAAAAAAAGGATTCTTAAGATTTCACTTTTTCTTTGGTCACTTTTCGAAAAGGCGTACCTTAGTCGAACATCGAAAGTCGGACGCCGAACGCCAGTCCGGCGCTCGAACCCCAGACCGAGCGCGAGGAGCAGATAACGCTCTTGTTCGCTCTAATTGAAGGGAGACGCTGGGTAAAGACAAAGGCAGCTGGCCTTGGCGTTTACCCACCAATCTTTCCAATCAGAGTTTGGGTCTCTGACCTCCACGCACGCCACGCCTTATCTCTTCCTCTCCCTTAGTTTGTCATCGTGTAGTAGATTCGTGCCCACGTCACAGAGTTCTGGCCACGTCTGAAACTGATATCTACGTGAATGAGGCTGAACCTTACCCCTTATCGCGTTTGTCAGCCGAGTAAAGTTGCGCAGCGTTGGGCGAAGTCTTCAGCAGGGAAATCCTTCTTGAACTTTGTTTCAACTTAAGTCTATGCGAAGCCGACTCTACAAGCTCATAAAGCCAATCAGAGAGCGCAAAAAAAACGCACAATCATGCTCTTCGTCATGTCTCTGCACGTGTTCCATCTTCACTGAACCAATCATTAGCAGAAACGGTCCAGTGACTTACGCTTTTAACGTTGTTTGATCAGTCCCATTAGCTCGTAGCGTCGGCTGCGTTTGTACTTAATGAAACGAAGTATACGGTTGGAAAACATGAGTAAGAAAACCAGCTGAAATGTAGATAAAAATCGGAAGTTAAAAAAAAAGTTTCATGCTATTAAAAGAAACGCAAACCACACCAGGGTATTTACCATGCTGAAATCCCGGGTACATGCATTTAACGGGACCACATTAGCGGGTTTTGTGCGATCAATACACTCGTCTTCAAAAGCACGAAACAAGTTTCGCACGTTCCGATTTATTTTTAAGGTAAATTTTAAGTTTTACAGCAAAAGAAAAAAAAAACAGCTACAATGGTGCTTTTCATGCTTATTTCCCCTTTAACCTGAAAAGGCAAGAAAGTTCCGTCTCTAATTTTTATTTTATTCTTCAACTCAAGTGTCGGAAACAGCCTTTAAATTGCCGATATATCGCCCGGTTCATTTTCGGCATCTAGGTGGAGGTTTCGTTCAATGGACCCTCTTTAAAAGCACGTCGAGCGACACTGGCCGTAGCCATTTCTCGGACACGAAGCGTGTGATAGGTTCCGAGTCTTCACCGAAAGCAGCCATCGCACTCGTTGGCACGCGCTGAGCCGAGCTCACGCCGAATGCTGACAGATCCCTGGTGTCCCATACAGCCTCAGGGTGCATGCCCAAAACTCGGCGCGTTCAATAATTAGCTCAACAGCTAATTGATGGTGGTCACTTTTAAAGAGGGTCTATAGCAACAGGTGAGCGCATTGTTTAATAAAGATCGTACTTTGTTTCTTAGCGGGGTTCTCTCTGCCAAGTTCGCGTTCGGTCGATTGCGCACATGTCAGACCGTCCTTTCGCGTTCGGTCAGCCTTCCTCTAGATATCTTATCAAAGGAGTTGCCCGAGAGGCGACCCCCCAGTAAAAATATAGTCGACACACGCGATATCGGAAACTCCTCGGAACTTCGCGTTCTTATTCGCAAGCTATTCTCTCCGGTGAGAGCGATGGGTGGACTATTATACAATGTGCTCCAGAAGGCCGTGGTGAGTTCGGAGATTTGAAACTTCGTGGTGCAAACTCTTGTCGCAGCTGAATTATTACATGCGAGCAAGTTGTTATTAATGGGTTACTCGGAAACGATTATAGAAAAATTATCCGTTCACTTCATGACTCGGGGAACGCAACCGAGCTGAACTCGAACTATTAATTCTACATGATTTTTTTAAGTCAAGCCCATAGACTTTTTTTTGTTTGCATCAATTGAATTGGAAAAATTTGAATTTACCGAAACGGACATGCTTATTGCTGGTTCTTGTCCCTCTAGCAAAAGTGCTGGTGTATTATTAGGGGATACGTGTACGAGAGGCGTTGCAAATATTTTTCTATTTCATATAGCACATGAGTCAAACGAATCGTTGACTTTTGGAAGGGACCGAATAAATCGGATTCGGAACGTATCTCTATATAATTTACAACAGGGGTGCCTAAATGTGGTTAATCTTGAGTATAAACACCTCATTAATTTTTTCTTAAATTGTCCTAACGTTGTCTTCGATTAAAAATGAAAAAGAAATACAGACGGATTTTGAGAAGACATCATATGAGAATAAAAGGCCTCAATCACAAATCCAACGCGAAGTAAAGAGCGTTTCTGGCTTGAGTGTGTACATATATACTCTTAATTTCTGAGAAGCTTCAGCACGATTGTCACACCGCTTTATGCGGTGGCAGATAAATACATGAAATTTAAATAGAATATATTAGTTAGAGAGTCACTCTTCATGCTCAGGCACCCTCTTAAAATACCTTCAATTATTTTGCTATTTTTTTTAAACCAAAGTGCAAGTGTGTCCTCGACACCGACGCCGGCTTAGATGCTGTTTTGTCCTACATACAGAATGGCTCTGAAGGGGCTTTTGTTAAAAAATGAAGTGTTGAGAAGGTTACCAGAGTGTTAAAAACCGAACAAAGCTACAGCATTACAGGAAAGGAACCATTTTCAGTTGTGGAAGCATGACCTATTTCCACCATTACTTGTACGGTATACAGTGCCCCTAAGAAGTGATTACGCAGCGGTCAGTTTTTTTTTCCTTTTAATTAAAAAAAATGACAAAGACCCGATTGCTGCAGTATTGCCAGCTGTGAAACACCAGCAAGTTGAGCACAACCTTACGAACCGGAGTGTTGATGCTCCCCGTGTTCTTCAGAAAAACACCAACGATTTACGACCTATTCAACTGAGGAAACCGGCTGAAGAGCTACCAGATTGAAACATGGTTACACCATATAGCAACGTAGTAAAAGCCTTATCGGCTCGATGGGATTCCCATATTCTGAGTGTTGTGCCCGCTACCGAAGTAAGTAAAGAAATAGCGTTACTCGTCAGATTGGAACAAAAGCTAACGCGTTCAGTGCTCGGTTACCATTTTGCAAAGAGTAAAGCTATACGCACTCCGTCGTGCACCTCGACCGGAAAAGGCTATACGCACTACGCAAAATTCGTGTAAAACGAATGGTTACAATCAGACTTGTACGTAATCCGTCACAAGTAACGGAATTACTTGTAATCCCTTACATTTAGCAGTAATTTAGTAACGGAATAATTACATATTTTCTAGAGTAATTTTAAAGTAATTCCCTTACATTTTTCACGTAACGGATTCCTTGTAATTCGTTACATTATTTTTTTGTCAAACCAACCCCCCCCCCCCCCCCCCCATTCTAAAAAAAAAAGTTTTTTTTTTTTTTTTTGTCAAATTGAGCGCAGTGACACTGTCACGGGGATTGACCACCGCAAAGGGAGGCTTGGCACTCTTCAGTTTCTTCCGCAAAGCCTTTTTTTTTTTTTTTTGCACACCAAGCCCCTGAGTCTATCTTTTTTTTAGACCCTAACATCAATGTAAAAAAATCCAAATAAACAATTCTACAAAAAAAAAAAAGGGGGGGGGACAAGTTATTTCCGCGTTTTTTTTTTTAGTACCTTTGTTTTGTTCTTTGCGATCGAAGACGGGGAGAGGAGGACACCAAGTGATTGTGCGCCTCTTCGAGAAGCTCGAGGAGTTAAGTGCACCGAAAAGAATTAACAATGTCCTTCTCGGATATAGTGACTACGACCATTTTCATGTGTCACAACGTGTCACAACGTCACAACACAACACAATGTCACAACACGAGACAACGCTCCCTCTACCCTACCCTTTTTGTGAGTCAGCTTTTTGCGAGCACTTAGAAAATGGTAATAGTCTTCCTTTCTTCTGTCTGTTTTGCCCCAGCAGGACGTATCTTATCTTAAGCAGATATTTTTACAAATAAAACATAATAATGGCTGATGTAGACTTGATATTCTGGGCTTGAGGAGAGAGTGAAATTCGTGAGTGGGGCCATAGCGCGGCTTACTTAGTACTCTACCCTTTGCTGCCCGTGGCATCAGTGGACGTCTATCTGGAGAACACCGGAGTAAACTGAAGTTGGTCCGTGCTCCGTGTGTTTTTGAACGGCACGAAGAAAGGTACACACGGCAAGAGTGCGTCTACAATTCCTTGTTTTAACTGACGTTCTAATTAATTGCTGTTATGAGTGTCCTTCTTTTTATTTTATTATTTATATTTATATACTGGAAACTTTTTTTTTATTGACCAACGTCTCAAGTGAGGCTCGAACTGTTCATAACCAAAGGAAAAAGAATATCGAGCCAAACCTTATTTATTATTTAATTATCACTTTACTGTTACAACTATGTTTTGCTATCGATGACTTCTACAGCTTCGCCATTTAGACAATGGAGAATTTTAGCAGATCGGTCCGATGACTCCGTTAACGATATCCGATACTTCGCCTCCGTCTTTGCGTATGCATCATATCGTTATCGGGTACCGTTATTGCGGGTATCGGAGGTATCGGAAAGATCTACTAAAACTCTCGAATAGCAGGCAACGGCTGCAACGACAAAGCTTTGCTCTACATTCGAGGTAATAGTACTTCCCTTGCTTCGCTCAAAAAGCTCAATGCAGAGCATAAAGAATTTGTGAGGAAGAATATGGCACTCCCATGCAGTGCCTCACCTCAAATGGTGTTCAGCGCAGCAGTCGACATATTGTGTAAGAAATAAAGCAAAATGTCTGACGAGACTTTTGAGAGCCAGCTGTTTCTCAAAATACTCAAGGTCATTAAATGGAACAGGCGGCAACAATAAGAAATTGAATAACCCTCTTCCATTTGTTCCTTACTTGAGGACAATAATGTTAAAAGTAACGCCACGAAAGTAACGGATTACTTTTTGGGGTAACGGTCAGTTACTTTCACGGGAGGATAATTGTAATAAATTACAATTTAGCCTCGAGTAATTGTAAATGTAATTCCTTACTATTTTTCAGTAACGTGTACAAATCTGGTTACAATCAGTATTCTAAGCGATAGCATAGTATCGTGTAAATGTGTCTGCTTCATACGCTAGTGGACGCGGGTTCGATCCGCGGTGTGAGCCTACTTTTTTCTATTTTTTTTTCGAATTTTTTGTTGTGTCGAGACATTTGACGATATTTAGGACATTTCGTTTTTATGATAAACACTACAAAAAAAAAAAAAGAAAGAAAAAGAAACGGATGTTGTAGACAGAATGTTGTTGAACTTAATGGTATGGGACTCCCTTTCCGGAGGTGCAATCGTGGACAGCGGGGCTTTGGTTGCCAAATGGGCGCCGGGAAGCGGCGTGTACGGGTGAAGTTTTGTAATTAGCAGCTGCACAATGTCGCCACAAAGCGCCGTGAACGCAGGCGGGGAGGTGTGTTAACGAGCTCCCTAGTGATACACGCGCCGTTCGAAAAAGGTGACCCAAATGATGAGCTCTCTGCGTAGTGCGTATAGCCATTTCCGGCCGAAGTGCACTACGTATTGCGGATAGCTTTACTCTTTTCCAAATGTAGCGACATATCGGTGTCGTTAGTTGCCATGGCTAAGGAATGTTAATTTTACGTTAGTTTGTTGTTACTTACTGTTTCACTGTTAGTATATTACAGATATTACACGACTGCCGCGCCTCAACCACAAACGTCTCCACAATATTGTCGAACCGTTCTTGAGAAACGGAAACTTGATGCATACGGTTGACCTTTATCTGCTTCAGCAAGGGTGTTTCGGGATATAGGGTTGTTGTCTCGGTTTTTCGTTTCTTTGAAAGCACGTCTAACTTTGATAGCTTCTGCGAATGGAGGGACTGGCGGAAAGGAAACAAATGAAGAATGATGCGAAGCACCGCTGTAAATTTGTAGTTATTAGTGGTGTGGTACAACGAAATATTAACTAAATAGACTGTATGACGAATTATTATAAAAAGACGGTCTAAATAAATCGCAAAATTAAACAAATATCAAATAGGAGTGTTTATATATAACTGTCGTGATTGATATATTCTCCTGAAATATACAAGTAAACTAATTTAAACCGTTTTTGAAAAGTTTTCGCTAGCTAACGTTAATGATCATGGTGAGATATAACTGAAAAAAAATATGCGACTAATAAAACGATCTCGAAAAAAAAGGGCGTGTTTTGGGTAACAAAACTCAATCACGACATTTTAAGAAATAAATAAATAAATAAATAAATAAAGGTAAATGACACTGAAAAATAACTCGCCTTAATGTGCTTTTTTTTTTTTTAAATTAGACTTAGACGTCCCGTGTGTACTCAGCACAGAGTAGATATTTAAATAGCAAATTGTCTGACTTCGTTTCGGCGGCTGTTGCCATCTTGCACTAAAAGTGAGTGGGAGATGGCAGCAAAAGGGGCTTTTATAACAAGCGTTCCAAAACGCTTTGTTGGTTGTTGACAGACGTTGCATGACAAAGATAACTGTTCAGTACATGGACTGCTCACAAACAACACACCTCATAGCCAAGCCGGTTTTAGTCACACAAGTTTAGGCTACACAAGTAACAAAAAGATGACACCGATCGTTTATTATAACCAATAACTATTACCAAAGTTGATTATGGGTTATTATAAACGAAGTATACTGCCAGTTATACTATGGTTATAATCACATACA